CCCCCACCTCCCCTCCGAGTGGGCGACAGAAATAGCCTCCGGTGCGTTTCTGGCCCGCAGCCAGCCAGCGGCCGGGGGGCGGGGGGTGGTGGTGGGGGTATTCCTTGTAGTTAATAATTTCTCTGCTTTTATTTTTCATCTTTATGCCCTCCTGAACCGGCTCCTCTTACCCCCGCTGCTCCCGGACGCGGGACTAGAAACGACTGAAAAATCATCCGAGAAACTGTATTTCTGCCGTAGGGTCCAAAGCGGGGTTCTCCCCTCCGCCTTTTGTTTTGGGGGCTTTTGCCCTAATCATCCAACTACTTCTTGCTGGTCACTCCAGTTCCCGAGAGAAATGACCGGCACCTCCTTTCATGTGCAGACCGCACATCCTGCCGCTCCCGTTCCCGCTCGGGCCGGGGGCTCCGGCCGGCTCCCTCCGGGGAGCCCCAAACCGTGCCCCGAACCCACCTACCCCTCTTCCCCCCCCCGGCTCCCCACGCTCGTCCACGTCCCCGCCACCCCCGGCACAGACCACGGCTCTCACCGACGGGAGCGGGGTTTATAATACCCAGGCCAGGGGGGAACCCTCACTCAGCTCCACCGTCTCGGGGCTGGAGGCCTAAACACCCCCAGAATTTCCCCCTATTTTTTTTTCCCCACATCTCCGGGCCGGCCGGGTGGGTTTTCCCAAGGAGATCCTAGTACTTTCGCTTTCCCAACTGCCCGCTCCCTGCTTCCCCCTTACCTGAGTTTCCGTGAGGCTGAGGCTGTGTGCCAGCTGTTTTCTCTCTGCTCCTACTACATAATGGTTCTTCTCAAAGGCATGTTCCAGTCTCAGTAATTGGGATGGGGAGAAAGCTGTACGGATCCGTTTGGGTTTCCTGGCCAGTGCATTGTGCAATAGGAAGCTCTCCGGGCTGGTTTCATTCCCTGGGCAACAGGGTAAAACAGAGATTAGCAAAACACCTTCCCCAAACTCACTCGAGAAGACTTTTTAAGCGCAAGAATTTTTGTCTCCCACCATTACCCGCTGGAGAAATCCGTCTATAGTTTCTTTTCTTTTTTTTCAGCGCCTTTTTTTTTATTATTATTATTCAATTTTCCTTCCATAAATAGGCGGAGGGAACGAGCAGGGGAAAGCGAGGACTGGGAGAAATTCAAATACCAAAACACAACCGGGGAAGCACTACGGAGAGGGATAAAAAGAAGGAAAAAAAAATTAAAAAAAAAAAAAGCGAAAGAATTGGCCAGACCCCGGCTGCGGTGTCTGCGGCATCATCCCGCAGCTGCCCCCCTTCCCCTCGCCCACGGGCAGCCTCACTTCTTTCCTTGTTTGCTTGTTATTTACACCCTCCCGGGGCG